TGTAGCCTTTTTTAGCATCAATGCCATCATAACCTCAAGACATGAAGATCGAAGCAATAAAAATAAGGATAGATCCAAGAAATTGAGGTTATGCCCAGAAGAGATATACGTGTTTCCTCTTATGGCCTTTAGTTTTCACACAGTAGCATAGGATTATTACTCTCATATGCATACCAAAAGACTAAAACTATCCATATTTGCCACAGGGCCAGACCCGTGGCTATTACATCTTTATTTGCCACAGCTACTTTGTTCCGTGGCAGATGGAGGTTTTTTCGTTACCAATTGCAACCGGGATTTAAACCGTAGCAAGGTTAGTACGCGGTCAATAAAATTGAGCTTTTCGCAACTGAAAGACCACTGTAGCAAATATTCTGGTTGCGCATAGCCTAGTTTCTTGTAGTGGTAGTGGCCAATAAATAGACCACTACTTGACAAAATTCGGGGACAGACACAGACATATGCCGAATTTCTCCCACATCTCTCTATATATTTTCTAGCATTCATTTTGCATTCTATTTTGCTACAGAAAACAGAATTCAATGGTTCTCGGTTCTAAATTCACATAGCAGGTATTCTATCCGTTTCGTTAGTGCAAACGCAAACGGAAAGAACTTCGAGTTCGGGCTTCGATTTATCTTGAAGGCAGATTTGCTGTAACCCTTTGCATACCGTCTGGTGGGGGCAAATACCGTCTTTAGGAAAGTGACATAGTTGTGACTCGAAGTGTGTTTTAGGATTTGTGAAGTTTTGCCAACAGTTCAGAATTTGCAGCAGTCGTTTTTCTAACAAACACTAGAGGTAACTCTAATTTTGGGTAGTAAAAGAGTGAAAACAAAAATTGTATTCTCTTATTTGGGTAATAACAGTAAAGGAAATTGTTTCAATAGGTAAGAAATCATTAATTTAACAAAAATGCTAGCGGTACAGCAGCCCTTGCACAAACAGCGTCATGGTCAAGATCAGGCCTCCACCGTCCTTTAAGGACTCCACTCAAGTAGAACTGAAAGTCAGACCCACCAGAACCATTTGCAACTTATGTCAGCCTAATTGGAAACTGCCCTTAGTGTAGCACTCTCACTGTTTGCAGGCACATCTTCGTATCCCGTTTTCTTTACTGCAGCCTCTTTTTTTTTGCTGCAAGTGCCATAGGTGTCCTTGTATGGTTAGCGTATTCTTTGGAGAGGCCATTGTTTTCCTCTATGAATTTGAAGACCACCATTGCAGCTTTGATCTTCTTCAGATCTGTCACAGTCAACTAACTCTTTTGCAGATGGGGAGATTAACTAACCAAAATCTTTAATTGGGTTATTGCTTTCATGGCTGCAGTAGCTGAAAACGCCCAACAATCATTTATAATTTGGTGATATCAGATAAATACTTGGAACGCACCAAAACCTATAGTGTGTTTGCTTTTAATTAATGGAAATTATAAAATTGCTACTCTCCTCATTGACCATAGTCCTTAACAAGTGTTACAGCGCCTTTTTTCCTCCATTCCATGGTAGATAGCATGGCACTACAGCTTTTCATATCTAAAGGAAGACATTTCAGTGAAGTAGACATGGCTCTTGTAGTTTGTTTTGAACTTTTCATAAATTTGCGAGGTCTGCACATTGATTGGCTCAGAGCTAAGTCATTTTTCAGGCCTTTTTTTTTTTTTTGGGAGATTCAGTATCTTCCACGGTGGCCTTGAATATGATGCAAAATTCTCCTTGTCAGAACTACCCTAGTAGACACAGCCATTGCTCGTGCCTCTCATAGATCACTGCCTCCTGAAGAAAGTGAAATGCATTTTGCATTGGGCCTGGGCTTTATATAGAGCTTGAAACTTTTGTTAGAATGCATTCAAAATTCCTGAGTGGCTCAGTAAACAGATCTGAATTGGACTCAACAGAGTAATACTGCTGCATAGAATTTTATTAGACTACTCCTTCGAAATCATAGAATTTTATTAGACTACTCCTTCGAAATTTTTGAAAATATCAGTTGTCAATCCTCGTGGTATACTTCGTGAGTGAAGTTCTAAATCAACTACACCAATTACGGATTTGTGCGCTTTCAACGTGCCATTTCTCTTATCAATGAACAATACTAAACTGATCAAGACAACTAGTCAATCATTAGATACTTAATTAGCATTATCAGCACATGACAAAAATTTCATTAGATACTTAATTAGCGTTATCAGCACATGACAAAAATTTCATTAGAAGCTTGGAATTAAGTGAAAACTGGCTTTGGATAGATGATACTGAACATCAAGTGTAACACATATTTATCTTCTTTTGATTGTTGGTACACGATGAGGTTCAATAAGGGACAAGAAAATATGACAAAAGGGTGATAATATTCTGAAAGAAGTTGCATACAAAAAACATTATGCATTCACAGGAAACCAAATCCCCATTATCCTGCGGTTTACATTGTGTATAAGTTCTTTTTCTTTTCTTTTTTTTTTGATCCGTGTATAAGTTCTTTTGTACCAAAAACAATACATTGCTATTCCCTGTCAAAATTATTAACAAGTGATGAATCAGCTTTGTCTTTGGCCCCGACCTATTCCTGCAAAGACAACGTAAAAGCTTAAGTCACCGGTGTGGTGGCGTGCCAACCACCCTCCGATGCCTAAGTCAGTAGAGAATATGATATTTTGTAAGAGAATCGAGACTTGTGAGCGTTAAATTGGACATACCTTAGTTAGTGCTCTACCGTCACTTTTATAGGCATTTTGTAGTTGTAGGAGGTCGAGTCCTAATAGGACTGTGTTCCGGAGATTTATTGATTATCCTAACGGTGAGTGTGGAGTCCTGCCTTAGCTGGGACTCCATTTCCCCCTGATCGTGGCCTAGATTCATTATCCTTTACTGGCCGGGGTTATCTCTGGAGTTTGATGTCTATCTTATCCGTATCTTCTCCATTATCCCATGAGGTTACCGTTCTTGATGGAGTGACATGTTTATCTGGGATAAACATGTTGCTGGAGTTTCGTTTGCCCAGCCTTAGTTGGGTTTCTGAGCTGGTCCCCAAACCCGTACCCAGCTCCGTCTCGTGGGGCGGGCCGGATATACTTGCTGGTGACGTCTCCCACGGGGTTTCTGGTGGGGCTGGGTTTTCACTCCCCAGCTCCGCGTATTCTACCGAGCTGGCCGCATCATGTCTTTCCTATTTATCAGGTACTCCCCTGTTTCCAAGCTACAGCTCTGGTTTGGAGGTTGGGAACATATACTAATGTTGCATGGCGGTTACCGCTTTTTACTTTTGTAGGCAGTTTTAAATGCATGGGTCGCTTTGTGGGCCAGGTGTCTAAATCTCGACTCCCCTGGCGCCAGAAGGTGGACGACGAGGATCGAGGAGCTTTTCTCGGGATTAATGCTGATCGCTTAGGCTTCTTATTACTTTTGATCCTCTCTTCTTTAGAGAAGCATCAGAGTTCACCCAAACGATCTTTGCTGTGAGATTTTTCCGTGGTTCCTCCTCCGCCATTTGTGTTTAGTGCCCATTCCCTATAGGTACGTCTCGCTCTTCTTGCTGTTGTTCTTCTCTTACACTGGATTCTCCATCCGGCGTGGAAATCTCAGACCCAACGTTGGTCACTCCCGGGGAGTTTATTTGCGCTAGGTTAATCGGCTTTTCCTGTATCAACTTACATTCCCCTGTTATTGAGGGTTTCGTACCTTACTCCCTTGTTCTTCAAAACAGGGTTTACCGAGAGCTCTTTTACCTTTCAGTGCGTCTTTACCCCATATTTCTGGTAGGATCCCTAATGTCCGAGGGTTTCATAAACTTTTCTTCGATTCTTCAATGCGAGGAGTCGATGGCGGAAGAGAAGAGCTCTCTACGTCGGAGTAGTATTATTAGGGTCTCGCCTGACAAGGGTCAGTCGAGCAACGTTAAACCCGCCTCGCCGCCTGCACCTTTATTGAGGGGTCCGCACCGGGTCCCTACTTTCTCGGCCTCTACCATTCCCTCCACAATCACGAATGAAGAACTGGCCGTTCTTAGGGTTAGGTATTCTATTCCTCCATCCGTTTCTCTTCGGAAACCCTCTGGGACCGAACGAGCGTGCTCCTTCCTTGAGAATGAGGCTTGCCTCTATGTTGGAGCTTTGGAGGGAGGCTTGAGGCTTCCTTTTCCAACCGTGGTAAGGGATATTTTGAGCTTTCTTGGCCTGGCCCCTGGCCAAATCGTCCCCAATTCCTGGCGTCTCCTAATCGGTTGTGCGGCACTGTGGGGGGCGATGTCGGATGGCCAGATTACATTGACAAAGGGGCCCTTTCTCAACCAGTTTTCTGTTAAGGAGGCTCCGGTATCACCGGACTCGGATTAGTCAAAACATACACCACTTTCAGGGTGGTTAGCAAGAAGTGCATCTTTTTCTACCAACGCCTGAAATTTCCACCTTCGAACCGCTCCAATTTCAGAAAGTCTTGCGCCATCTTTTGTAGAGACATCGCCATCGCTGAATATTGTCTTTAGATTGTTAGAAAAACCGCTGCTACAAATTCTGAAATGTTGGCGAAACTCCACAAATTCTGAAACACACTTCGAGTCACGACTATGTCGCTTTCCTAAAGATAGTATTTGCCCCCACCAGACGGTATGCAAAGGGTTATAGCAAACCTGCCTTCAAGATAAATCGAAGCCCGAACTTGAAGTTCTTTTCTTTTACATTTGCACTAACAAAATGGACAGAATACCTGTTGTGTGAATTTAGAACCGAGAACCATTGAATTCTGTTTTCTACAGCAAAACAAAATGCAGAATGAATGCTAGAAAATATAGAGAGAGATGTGGGAGAAATTCAGCATATGTGTGTGTCTGTCCCCGAATTTTGTCAAGTAGTGGTCTATTTGTAGGTCACTACGCACCCGTTGAGAAAGGGTACGCACCCGATCTAGTTTGACTGTTGGATCAGATCCTACGGTCATGATTTTCACTCTTTTATTTTGAAAGATTGTTAGAAATGTGTATTTGTTTTATGATATCTGGCTTTTTGGACATTAGTTTGATTTAGTGGTAGAATAGTACCCTGCCACAGTACAGACCCGGGTTCGATTCCCGGCTGGTGCACCAATTGTTGGAAATTCGATCTTCAAAACGATGAAAATGATGGCGTCGTCTGTTCAAACTTGGAACGGTAGAAGCATTCGAGTCACGTTAGGAAAACGCTTTCCTAAATACAGTATTTGCCCCCACCAGAAGGTGTGCACCGGGTTACAGCAAATCCGCCTTCAAGATAAATCGAATCCGAACTCTAGGTTCTTTCTGTTATTGTTTGCACAAACGATGACAGACAGAATATCCGCTAAGCAAATGTAAAGAACCAAGGACTAAGATTCTATTTGTGTGGAATAATAGAATATCGGTTTGCCATTCTAGGAAGAGAATGTGTAGAGAGAAATAGAGCAATTCAGTATGGAATTTTCCGATCCATTGAATGACTTTACAAATGGCCTATTTATAGACTTATAAGCACCCTTGTATGAAAGGTTGTGTTTCTAGTGAACAGCCATAAGGAATTGTCATGTCTTTTGAAAACACCACTTAGAAAAGATCATACCTATTAATAGGCACCCTTTAAACAATTAATTAGGAAGGATCATGCCTCTTGGAGGCACCCCATGTTTCACATCCATTCCTAGCAATCACATCTTTTCCAAATGAACACACCCCAATTCAATGGGTGTTAGACCATTTATATAAAGTCACAACTCATGTGAAATGGTGTAGCAACCTTTCACAAAATTCTCACTCAGTACCTTTCCAAAAAATTCCAAACTAAAATCCAATTTTATTTTGAAAAACTCCAACAATCCCCCACCATTTTCGAAATAAAGAATAAGAATTCTTGGTTCTCTTAGAGGCTTGTGCATACATGAATAGTGTCTCACGACTTCAACCATCCACTTAGTGAACCATGTCAAAGCTAGTCAGGGCAGCATAGTAGACGTATCTTTGAGCTAGTTGTCCTCTAATGACCAATCGGACATGTCTCACACACAATTCTCCAAATAATGCAAATATTCCAATCGGTTGACCCGTGAACTGGCCTTGGGTCTTTATCTTGATTTCATGAGCGCTTTAAGTTCTAGCCCCTTTGACCTATAGAAAGCAGCACCACTTCCACACTCACATAGGTAAATTCTTACCAGTGCCCCTGTAACAATAGCACCTAAAATCTATTAAGAGCTAAGTAGCTCATCCTCCTTCGTTACACATTACAAGTACCAACCACTCTACCTTGGGATGAATAAAATAACATTTTGAGTGCTTATAATCACGACATGTGGTGTAGTTTCTCATTGAACTCAAGAGATTGAGAGTATCAACCAGTTGAGTTGAGTTTCCACCAAGAGTGATCAAATTAAGTGGGCAAAAGTCTCATCCCCTTTGATGTCTTCCACACCAATTCTCTTGCAAAAATAAATAAAACCATTGCTGTGAAAGCAATTTTTTTTCATAACTATATCACCATAGTTTATGACGTGATTAACTTGTCCGAACTACCACCACAGTCATAACTATCAACCCTCTTTCTTAAGTGACTTACTGAGAAATATATCCATAACAAAATACCATGTCACTCCATCTCATCGTAAAATCCTCTCTTTAATCCAAGAGAGAAACCCCCACAAAATAGACTTACTATTTATCCATGGTTTCCATGCTTAAATTATATTAGGCGCCTTTGTATCCATCATAACTAATGGATACCAATTACAAGCATATAAACCAACTCCACCAAATAAACTAATTTGGATTTAATTAACTTGTGGGCCATAATTGTTTGGAACAACTATGCAACCAAGGTAATCGGAATTTGTCATTCCTCTCCATATCTTTGTTTAATCTCCAATATACACGGGAGAACATGTGACAGAAAGGCCACATAACTGTAGAGACCCGTAGACCCGTAAATTTTTTTATTTAATTTTAATATTTGTAGTTAAACAAAAAAAATGAAATGAAAAGAAAAGGGGTGAAAATAGCATGAATACAAAGTTGGGGGTCAATGTGAGAGAATATGAGAAATGAGGGGTGTTGGTGTAATTAGTGATGTGTGTGCCGTGTATGTATTCCAGGAGGATTTTTTTTCCTTTTTCCAATTTGAATTTCATCTCTCTCTCGTCTATCAGCTCTCTCTCTCACTCTCTCACTTTCTCACCCAAAAACTCACCCAAATCATTCAAGACCCACAACAATCAATCTCAACTCCATCGTTTACTTGTATATTCGAGCTCGTAACGCGTTGGATAGAGCTCGGTTGGGTGTATTTTCGTCCAGTTTGGATTCCGAAAGTTAGGGTTCGCTCAATCTCTTTGTCTTTGGCTTGGATACTCGATGTAGGAAATTCTACCTCTATTTATATGTTATTTGAGTGCATTTGTTTCTTATTTTGGCTTGAAATGGCTGTTATTGGATTTGAATCAAATCTGTTGCTGCTGTAAGAATCGCCTGTTTTTCCTGAATTTCTACCGGTAGGTCCGTCCTTTCTACCGGTAGAACGTTGTTGTGTTGCCAGAAATTTTGCTCTCTACCGGTAGAATTTTTCCTCCTACCGGTAGATTGTTTAAATTTTTCCTCGTACAAAATGGTGGCATCTCTGATCAGCTTTTGTGCCGGTAGAACTCAATTCCTACTGATAGAAACACAAAAATTCCAATGCTACCGGTAGTTCCTAATCCTACCTGTACATTACCAATCCACTGTCAAAATCTTCTGGCCGTTGGAATCCTTTTCTTTTCCAAGTCCATTGACTTTTCCATGGGGTATATGTATTATGTATATTAATAATATAAAACCATGCAGCCATCCTTTTCATGTGCCATGTGGTAAACATATTTATCTTGAAATTGTTTAATCGGTGGAAGGGTTGATGGATGAGTATGAGCTTTATGCACAACACTTGTACGAACGGAACAAATGAGCTTATGGAGTTAATTGTTGGGAAAATTTGAATCAACGGAATGACGTGAACGGACCATGGATACAATGGGATACATTATCGCATAAAATGAATCGAAAACCGCGGTGAGCAGTTGATGCGTGGGGTATGGGTTTAACTTGACGGTTTATATATGGACAAAGATCAAGACAACAATCGTGAGCTCTTTAGTACTTGATTGAAGCGTGGCGACATGACGCGTAAGTGCATGGTGATGTCTAGCGGCAAATTATTAACACGGATGACATAAAGGGTAGCCATTCGCTGAAATGAAAAACATGTGGGATAAAAGTTGATACAATCTGAACTTGAAGTTGGAAACCCGATGTATGAATCAGATATACAGGGTCTTGCGTACCCGGAATATGAATCGGATATACGGGGTCCCGAGTACCCGGAACATCAATCGGATCTACGGGGTCCCGAGAACCCGGAATGAGAATCGGATATACGGGGTCCTGCGAACCCGGAATGAGAATTGGGCGTACGGGGTCATGATCACCCAAAACGTAGACTGGGTATACGGGGTCCTAATGCCCGGAATGTCCCTAGGTCTATCACGCGGTGTGACGTGGATGAAAAGTTTCTAATGTGCCTATCTAAGATCCATGGGGAACACATAGGATACGAAGCTGTTAGATTGTAAACCGCTTATGGTGGACGTGAGTAGATAGAGATGTGAGTGAAAGAGAATTCAAAGGACAATAATAGGTTGATTGGAAAATGTGAAGTGCTTGTTCAAGTTCTTAAATTCTGATAAAGTGCTCGTGTCTTATCTATGCTCCTTTGTTATTCGAAAGTCTATGTTTCCTCGGCATCTCTCATCTCATTTGCATATAGAGTTTGCGTAGACTTTTCTACTGAGCTAGTGTAGCTCAAGCTTTATATTATTTTCAGGTGCTAATCCGGAACTATAGCTTGCATGACTGGAATGCTTGGAGTGTGGACACACCTTTTGAAAGTTAACCAAAGGAGTTACTTATTTATCCTTGTAAAATTCTTTTCAAAGATGTATTCGTAACTCAAGTTATAATTCTTTTGACTTGGAATATTATAACCCTTAATTTCCTATTGTTATTTGATACTTTTGTTTATTTGGGGCCATTGAGCCGATGTTGTAATATTTTGGAACTTGGTGAACTTGGAAGTACTGTCATGGGAATGGGAAATACAGTGATCTTTTGGGTAACGTATGGAATATCGTGAGAATTTATTTATGAAAAACCTATTATAATTATGTTAAAAATTCAGGGCGTGACAATAACCAACATTCCTTCCAATGAAAACCACATTTCATACTTCTTGCAATAATCACAACTCTTCATTTTAATCCAAACACAATATTCCTTGGTTATCTTCCAATGGTCTCACCATTTAGTCTAAAACCAAAAGCCACACCTTTTGGGTTACACCCCCTAGTTAAATCCTTAACCTCCACATATATACGTATTTACATGTATATATCAAAGTGTATTTTGGTAAAGGGCAAGAGAAGAGTCCCGTCCATTTTTATTTCCTCATAAAAACAAACTCATTCTTTTAAAGAATTTCCATCATTTTGTTTATTTTATGCAAAGAACATGCATATTACAAACTTATGATGGTATGTTCAATTTGGAAATGGCATCCAAATCAAAGATATGAAAACTACATATCTGGCATTTGCGTAAAGCAAAATATTCGAGATAATTTAAATAGCCACTAATTTGGTTAACTACCGACCACGTGTCCAACCGTACTGTAACCTTGTACTTATCCCAACACGTTATCTGATTCTTGATTAAGGCCGTCAAACACCACTCATCAAGAGCCACATAACACATTTCCGTGTTACCAAAACACTACCATGACACAATTACCATGTTAGGTATCACACCTCCAACAGGCCACAAAAACCTTGGCTATAAAAATCTATCCAAAACTATCCATGAATAAAACCTAATACCCATGCATATAACGAAACATTTTAAATAAAACCGTTGCATATGCACGGTCACCATGTGTGGCAGCTAACTCCTCCACAATGGTCCAAAACCGAAACCATTCAAGCAGTGCAACAGTTTAAATATTGGTAAAATATCAATAGAAGTCACCGATTCACATGAACTGAAATAACCTGGGGAAG